GTAGTGGTGTGGAGTCTAGACAGAAGAGCGCGTGCTATAGCTAATATTGAGGCTATGCTTCTCAAGGAAGAGAAGGGAATGGAGTTGATTTTAAGGTACTGTCGCAAGATAATGGGACATGGCAATGCACTACAAACCGCGAAAAAAATCTCCTTGTGTTGGAAAGGGAACTAGGCCTCCGGTGGAGAAGAAGATGCTTGAGATGTGTAGTCAAATTTTTATTGTTTCCCGATGTTCATATAATTATTCCAAAATCAATCCTATGTTTCGCACCTTTATTAGTATTTTTGAGCACTTCGCCTTTTAGTATGTCGTGGCTGCAGGGCTTCAATGGAATTTGGAAAGTTTTCTTCCATGGAAAGAATCTTCATACCCTCGCTCATCTACGCCAGCCCTGGGCAGAGGAAATCTCCATCCACTCAAATTTTATTGAAGAAAAATCTCCTGACGCTGCTGCTATTGCGCAATCCTGCGCGGTCGCGAATGGGTTAAATGACAGACTATTAGCTATGCACCCTACTCCCACCTCACCCAATCCTAAATTCAGCCTGCCCTTCACCTGTCGGAGAATCCTCGATCTCTTGTCTCTTACTCGTCGTATTGCCTAACGAAGTTGTCTATATATAAAGTCAAGAAGGACTATGTGTGTCTGTGATTGGTTGAAGGAGGACCTCGCCAATCACAGGTTAATTGAACATACATCAAGACATCGACGCTGATCCAAGCTGATAATCCCTCGAATGATGCTGAATTCTGTGCGTACCATTCCCGTCTACGATCTCTGATAGCTAGAGAGTGACAGTTACCAGAAACATAGCAATTTGATATTGCGAATTAAAATTAAAAATCCTGCTGAAAATTTTAAGTGTTCCTCAGAACGATGGCGATGAGGCGCCATGAAACGCGTTTTTCAACCAAAAAAGTGCGTCTTCTCTCATGTCAAATAAACAAAGGCATTTCCTGTTATCTCTTTGTCGTCCCCCACAAGAAGATTGCTGAACATAGCATTGAAATCTACCAAAAAAAGTCAAATTGCTAGGAAATAAGGAAAAGTCCAGCTTTTGAGGTCCTATGGCAGTACAACTTCCAACAAGAGCAATGCCTCATGCTAGGAAGAATCGCTCCACAACAAGTAACTGCGAGTGAATCAGGACATCCATATTCTTCTGTAGGAATGCTTTCGATAAGCTTGTGGGCTTTCCAAAGTAATTTCTGATGTGGTCTCAGTAAGGTTTACAGGCCGCACGCTGTGAGATCTGTAATTGACATAAAGATTGGTAAGAAGCCACTCAACGTCTAACCAGCACAAAGACCAAGAGCTTTTGTCAAGGTAGGATAATCCTGAACCTTGCTCTGTCATGACCTTTATGGTTAGACCTGCGATATAGAGCACATCAAGAATCAGCGCTATGTCCCTTGCTTCCCTGCTGCCTTTGGACTATAGTTATTGGCATAACAAGGGCCGTTGGCGATTCTCTGCCTAGGACCAGGCTGAGAATCGTATTGAGTAGATATTCGCAACAGTCTGTACCCCCCCCCCCCAAAAGCAGCTATTTCAGCAACAATCTTGATAGGACCACGATTGTTACCGAAATATGCTTGTTGAAGAAAAGCAGAAAGGGAGGAGATTACGTTTGAAGGCTGATTGAAGGGAGGAGATTACGTTTGAAGGCTGATCGAGTTCATGGTGGTTCCTATAGTAAGACTTCGAGTACTTAATGAAGGTCACGCGAAAGCTGCGAAATAGGAGCCTAATTTTTTTAATTCATGGACGCCATTCGCGAACACGTGGTAGTCGGTACCACCTACTTGCTGCTAAATTCACGTGAACATCATCGCTCCCTTTTTTTCATTTACTCTTAGGTGAAAAAGCTTCATGTTATAGACAGTGAACATGATGTCTTATAGGCGGAGCGGTTTCGATGACGTCATTGCGGAAGGATCATTTGTGGAAGAATGCTAGTAGGTAATAGCTGAGCCTAGTGCCAATGACGCCCAAGTCGTGCTCCGTGCTTGCATTTTAACACATTCACGCCGATGGCCGCCCATATGGGCTGCCAACAACATGCGCTCCTGGGACGATGGCAGCCCATATGGGCTGCCAACTGATAATCGCTTGCCAGGCGCTAGGAATGGACAGATAGGTGGGCAAATCTCGTAATCGAGTGTAAAATGCTTTTCAATTCCTTCGCGGGAAAGTGAATAAATGCTCTGTTTTCGTAACCACTATTTGTCGTTCTGATCGACATCCTACTGTTATATGTTTAGATAATCTTTACGCATTGGAAATCATGTTGTAACATTCATGTTTTGTTCATTTACAAAACAAAATCTGCGGTTGTGGGGTGAGGCGGCGGCGCCCACTGAATCGCGTCCG